AAGTTTTTTGATCCGTTGGGATTTCTCGCCCCAGTTATTATACTCGCGAAAATCTTTATACAAGAATTGTGGTCACTAAAAATAGGTTGGGACGACCCAATACCGTCGCATATGTCCGACAAATGGCACAAATTTTTAGATTCTCTTCATGAGATACCGAAAATTACAATCCCTCGTTGGCTGGGGATGTCTAGTCAAAGTGGACTTGAGATTCATGGATTCTCAGACGCTTCCCAGAAAGCCATGGCTGCTGTTGTTTACTTTCGTGTCACGGATCCGACAGGACATACCTCTGTTCACTTTGTTTCGTCTAAAACAAAAGTCGCCCCTTTGAAACGACTCACTGTTCCAAGGTTAGAACTCTCTGGAGCCGTTTTACTCACTAAGTTAGTTTCCCACATTCTGTCTATACTTGATTTAGCTGACTCACCTGTCGTGTTATGGACTGACTCAGCTATTACTCAGGTTTGGCTTAACAACCATCCCTCAAGATGGAAAGAATTCGTACGTAATAGAGTCAGCTTCATTCATGAAACGTTACCTCAGGCTGTATGGAAATTTGTTCCCGGCTACCAGAATCCCTCGGATATCGCTACCAGAGGTGCTACGCCCTCTCAGCTTTCAAACCATGTAGAATGGTGGAACGGCCCTCTTTGGTTATCCCAAGAGAAATCCTCTTGGCCACAAGTAATTGCTCAGACGCGTCTTAATGACAATCTCGAAGAACAGACCGTTACGGTAAACTTGATTACTACTCACAAGGTCCAAGAGTGGAGTCTTATTGCTAGATATTCTAGTTTAATTAAGCTCTGCCGGATTACTGCCCTTTGCCTAAGAGCTGTTAGTCGATTCCGAAATACTCCACAGACGACTCTGTCACCTTCTCTGACAACAGCAGAATTGAATAAAGCTAAGATGTTTTGGGTGCATGCTACGCAACGAGTTTTCTTTTCTGAAGAACTAAATTGTCTTACGAAAGGGAAGTTGATTTCTCGGTCAAGTCCTCTCATTCGTCTTACACCGTTTGTAGACGCGTCAGGCTTGTTACGAGTAGGCGGACGTCTACAGAACGCTCTGTTAAGTGAGGATGAAAAGCATCCTTTGATTTTACCTCGAAAGTCAACCTTGACAACTTTGGTTATAGCTGACGCCCATCAGCGAGCCTTTCATGGAGGTACTCAGGTTACCTTATCACTTATCCGCACGGAGTACTGGATAGTCGGTGGGCGGAATCCTGTTCGATCTTGGATCTTGAAATGTGT